TCATCCCTACCCAGTTCGATCCCCTCTTGTGAATTTGCTCAAGAAAGGTTCTTGATTTTGTTTTTTGGTTGAAGAAACAATCTGAAGTCGTGCTCACCAGCCCCTGTTCGATTCTTGTTGAAGAATCCTGGTTCTTGCTGAAGAGTCATCCTGTTGATCCTGCTTCATCACACACTATGTCATCTTCAGTGGATGTGGATTTTGGTCTTCCCGTTGGGTATGAACACCTTCATTGGGAGTTACTGCTACTTTGTATCAAGTATATCCCTCTCCTCCCTTTTGGTTTCAGATCTGGTCCGGTTTTGGATTAAAGAACGAACCTTGAAAATGCAGTTTTCTAAATTAGGGAATACGATTCACGGATGGGAGAAAAGAAATTTTTGAAATTTTGCCCAACCTTCCTACAGGGTTCGGTCATCCATATGATGGATCTCCCATTCCTTCATAAGTTGCAATCCCCTGCTCACATAACATCATAGAGTACAAGGCACTGGTGCTAGGTTTGATAGTAGCCAGGGATTATAGGGCAAAAAGGTAAAGGTCGTAGGAGATTCTAAACTAGTAATTGGACAAATGGAAGGTAGCATGATGGTAAAAGAATTAACAATCTTGTCGTATAGAACAGTGACCTAAAACCTGACCAAAGATTTAGAAGTAACCTATGAACATCAGAATAGGGCAAAGAACATGTATGCTGATGCTCTAGCCACCCTGGAATCTAAGATACAATCGAGTAATGGACCAATTACTATAACAATTCAGATGTAGTGTGAACCATCAACAAAGAGATTAGTGCACTGGGTCGAAATCAAGGATGATGTTAAGGAGGGTGGTTGGAGGTACGCCATGATAGAAAAATTAAGGAACCTGATAGCAACGATGCAGGATGACAAGGTACTTTTGCGATTTCAACTAGTGAATGGGGTGTTGTATCATAGAATGTCAAACAGAGTAAGGGTGAGGTGTTTAGGACCCACAGAGGTGGCAATAGTGATAAGAGAAACTTATGAGGCCTATTGTGGAGATGAAGACATACTCGGATAAGGTTTAGAATGGTTATGACAAATGTGTATCAGAGGCTAATAGAAATGAGTGTCTCGTGGTGGGGGACATGGAATAGAGAGATATGTATATAGATTACGTCAAAGATGGAATTTTACCAATTGACTCGGCGTTACGGAGGAAGCTATTAGCCAAAGTTAAAAGATTTTACTTGCAAAACGGGGTGTTGTATAAGAACTCTTACATGGGGAAACCCTTGTGCTACCTAGCCAGTGATGAACTGAAAGAAGCACTAGACACAACCCATAGCTCCTAACCCGCCTCACACTAGGGATAGATGGTCTTACACAACCACATTTTTCACTTAGGCTTTTACTGGCCAACCATGTTAGAAGATACTCAAATGCATGTACATAGGTGTCACACATGCCACGTACATGGTCAGCGAAAAAACCAAGCAGCCAACAACCTCCGCCATGTTGTTACACTATGGCCTTCCCATACCTAGAGGGTAGACCTGATAGGCAAAATACACCCACCCTCTAAGGGATATTATTTCATTGTAGTGGCCACAAATTATTTCCTGAAGTGGGCATAAGCCAGACCATTGAGGAGGATCTGTGTAGAAAACATAGAAAATTTCTTGAGGTAGTACATAGTCCACCAGTTTGGGGACCCAATGAAGATTCTTATGGACAATGGACTATCTATCAAGAATCAAGAAGTCTAAGATTTATTAGGGTAGTACGAAGCATGATTGGGGACATTTTCAACTTACTGCCCACAAGGGAATGGGCAAGCAGAGGCAACTCACAAACTCTTTTGAGGATGTTGAGCAAGTTGGTGGCCGATAACCAAAGAGACTAGGCCGAAAAGTTATCTGAAACACTCTAGGCTTATTGCACGTTGGTTAGGAAAAGTATGCAAGTGACTCCATATTCATTAGTCTATGGCCAAGGAGTCTTACCGGAAAAAATATAGACAGTATTCGCTAGGGTAGCATATGCAAGGGGAAAGCATTTCTAGACAAGAGACATAGATCAGTTACTCAATGATAAACTAGAAAACATAGAAGAAGCAAGAGAGGAATCACTATGAAGGCAGATAAAATACAAACAACTTATGGCTTCTAACTTTAATAAGCTAGTAAAACCTCGCAAATTCAAAGAAGGGGACAAGGTGTTGAAGACAGTGCTACATGTACGACAAGGGAAATCGACCGGCAAATTCGCTACTAATTGGGTCAGGCCATACATTATTAAGGAAGCACACCCGACTAGCTATTATGTGTTATGGTATATGAACACAAATGAACAAAACAAAACAATGAATGGACATTAGATAAAATTGTACAAGGAATGACAATGATACTTGTATTTGATTTGTATATATTAATAAAATCTCTTCTTGTGCTTCAAATCTATGTGTTAGTTACGTTTCCTTTTGTGACTATTTAGTTCTTGTCTACTATACATGCGATTTCACTATGGATTATTGAGATTTATTATCCATCTTTTGCGATTGAACCAGTAGAACAATCTCAAGCCTARGAAGGCCTTGGCAGCCCCAAGCACAATCTCACATTCCTTGGAAACCCTTGGAAGCCCTTGGCAACCCCAAGCACAATCTCACATACCCTAGAAATCCCAGGAAGTCCTTGACAACCCCAAGTGCGATCTCATATTCCCTACCAACCCCAAGAAGGCCCTAGCAACCTCAGGTGCAATCTCATATTCCCTAGCAATCCTAAGCACGATCTCACATACCCTGGCAACCCCAAGAACAATCTCACATACCATGGCAACCCCAAGAAGGCCTTGGCAACCCTAGGAGCRATTCTACATACCCTAGCAACCCCAAGAAGGCCCTGGAAACCCCAAGAGCAATTCTACATACCCTGTCAACCCCAGGAAGGCCCTGCCAACGGGCACAACACATTAAGTRGTAAATCCCCATCTTACGTGAATCACCCATCATAAACAAATACTAAAACTTAAACGATAATGGCATATAAGCCATGGCTTGACCAGTGGGGGGGCTAAGTCATAGTCCAGGATTGAGACCACTCTRGCATGATGCTCACACACCAAGTCCGCAAAGGACTTACACTACCAACATGACACTAGGTATAAGCCTCACTCACTCTTTCACTCATTAAACACCACTCACACGTATTAATATCACTCCAAGATCACGATAAGTTCCAAACAAACAACAAACCAATCGATGGGAATAACAAAATATATACAACACAAAATAGCAAGGAAGCAAAAACGGTCCACATGAGAAAAGGTTTGCTATCATTAAGTAGTATTAACAGTTGAACATTTGCATAGCAACAGTGATACAAATACCAAACTACCAGATACAAATTATCTATTCACTAAGCCACTCATTGCGCATCTTGGTGATCTTCTCTAAACTTGCCCTCTGTTCACGAATTCCACAACTACAATAACACCTTATGTTGACAAGCGGGTTCATCAAGAAGAGCCGCTATCTTCTCCTCTATCTTCAAAATGCAGGCGCTCAAAGCTTTCAATTGCTTGCAGAGCTCATCCAGGCTCTTGGAAGAGAACGGTTTGGACTCCTTATGACCAGTCTTCCATAACACATGAGAAATGCGAATCACCCACTCTTTGATACATTCCATCCTAACCACCGAGCAAACAAAGACCATAATAATGACTCCACCGACTATGATATAATAGAGTTCATTAAACTTTCCACCATGTTTAAGGAGGCACATAAGGCAACCACCCCTTCTGAATAACTAACAACACCGTATCGACAACATTGTGGGACACAACGAATTACTCTCATCTGCGAACTCCTTGAACCACGATAGGATCAGACATTATGAACCCAATAGGCACCATAATAGGATCAGACTAACAACACTGTTGCCATACTAATAGACATTGGGGATAAGCACCAAGGAGTCACACTCAAGGGGAAGTGCTCACAAATGAACATAAATAAAACGGGGGCAAAAATGTAGGATGTACGACCAAGGACATGGACGAGGATGGAAGTAAATTCCCCACCCTGCCCCAACCCTAATTATTTATATTAAATATATATTATATACTAAATATATACATATATAATATCATTTATAGGATAAATATTTTAAGCAAA